TGGATGGATGGAACGACCGACCAACAAACAAACACTGTCAGACTGACGGACGGACGGACAAGCAGACAGTTTGGTTGAGCATATCTTAAGATGCTGAATTTTCTCCAGTTCAAAACGCATTATGGTTYGTTGAGCTGACCATTGGGGTGAAGTGSCAGAAGAGCTGAGAAAAAAGTGATTAAGTGAGAAACCTGGCTTGCAGAGTCACCTTGGTGAGATGGTGTGCATGTATAACCGATCATAGCAGTTTGCTAACATWTATTTGATCGATTGTGAGCAGGACTGGGGTACYACATTATTTGCGCCCCTGACATGGCGTAGATGTCTYCCCATGCCCACACTTCGAGCATCTCAATGCCAACGCGATGACCTWACTTCCGATGTGCTATATATTCTCAATTTCTCACCATGTAAAAATACTAAGAGATTAGACTCTGAGTTCATTGGGACTTCATGCGCTCTCTAAGATCTTAACTRCAGGAGAATTTAACTCAATTGTACGAAGCGGGATAAAATTTTGGATAAAATTTTCTTGTGGAGGTGTTTCCTCCGTGTTATGCCGTCTCAATGGTCCACYGTAAGGAAAGTCGGTATTAACGTGGAGGGTGTGTTAAAGTGGAGAARAAAACTATTAGYAGCTTAAAGCACCAGTACACCACACATCGGCCCGCGTGTGCCAGCATGAAACCSGCCCCACTTCGAAAGCCGCCGATTTTTGTTTTCAACGCCGGAATCAACGGCGCCTCCAAATTTTGCTTGTGGCAACAAAAAAACTTTCTGCACGGCTGGGGCCGTGTACTAGCGGCTTAAGCGTGAAGAGCTGCGCACTGAGCAGGGGTTTGAGTGTCTYTTTATCTTCGATGAAGGCAGTGGTGTGTGAAAGGAGTGCTGACTGGGTCTTTCTTGCATTAACGAATCGCATCGCATGATTCGCGTCGCTTTTTGTCAAAGAGTAAATTAATTTGAATTTGAAGAACCGATGAGGCCAAGCGGGTTATGATCAGACTCCTGGTCAGCAAATTCAGTTTARAAAACTTTGGATTCCTTAGACAACCATCACCGATAAGGCCAAGCGGGATTGATKGCCTTTTACAAAGGAAAGAGCAAAGCGGACAGTGCACAAACTGGTGGCCGCAKGAGTAGAATRGTAAGCTATCTACCCCTGAGAAAAAAAGAAAAAAGAAAAAGAAAAAARGAAAAGAAACGAATGGTCAGCTGTSACATGCGATGCATGGAGCYGTTCAGATTCTTTAGAAAGCAATCACCCACCTCATACCAAGGGATCCAATTTTCTTTTTACAGGAAAAGAGCAATGTGGACAGCTTCGGGTGCATATAGTGGTGGCTGTCGGAGAACGGGTGGAACGGTACTAGCTGACACATGCAATGCAAGGAGAGCAGAGGAATGGATGGGGGGTAAACTTAGGAGGGATAAGATGTGTAGGAGAAGGGGGTGTGAGTGGCTCGCTCCAGGTGTGAGGTAGGGCCTTTCATCATGTGTTGAAACTGGGATTTTCTGAATGGTTGGTTGCTTCTCTTAAGAATTTGAACCTGCACCACCTGCCGTCTCCTTATGCCCTGAAAGCATCCTAGCTCCGATCTATTCGTGGGGAGCGGCACGTGCTGGGAACCGCGACCAACATCCCTTACAATAGGATTTCATGAAATTATCTTCACATTGTAATTGTTGTCAGGACCTGTCATTGTACGCCTTCTC